TCATTCAAAAGAGTAAAACGCACTCTACACGTTGATGATTTTTCATCATAGCTTCTCTCCAGTATGAGTTGATAAACAGCGTTCTTTGGATCTATGCTAACAATTTTGTGATAAAATCTCAGCAAAACCTACTTTTTCCTACAATGTTCAGCTAGCAACAATGTTAAGCGTAGGTATGGGTGTGTGATGATAGATCTTCTTGTAAACTTCACCCACACTTACATTCTTCAATGTCAAAAAACATTCTTATACAAATTTTCTTAATTCTATTGATTCGTAAGGTAAAGGTATAACGATTATTTGATAATCAGTAGGTTCTCCAGACCTGGCACGATGTAGTTTTGGACTTTGCAATCTGATCAAACAAAATCTAACCGATCATTAAAAGTCACAATTCTTCTACTGTCCCATAATCAAGAGAATTAAGCCTCTCCCCGCCCCCCCCCCTCCCTTAGAAAATCNAAACAGCACCCACTATTCCCTCCCCCATCACCCAGACAACTGCCCCCCCCCCCCCCCCCCCCCCCCTTAGAAAATCCATTTTTTGGTAAAGTAATCGAAGTCGAGTTTTTATCATGGGAGGATACAGCGAGGTTTCCTCTTTCAGAATATATATAAATTTTTAAAAAAAGGCCAAATTTTTACATGCTTTCGTAGGAGATTTCCACCTCACTACCCGGTTTTTGGAGAGATTTTTGCGGTTTTTGTAATTTTTGAGAAGACTACTTTTTTACTTATATCAGCATGGAATAAACATTCTTATATCATATAGTATGACCTGTAGTGCTAGCTTACGCCATCTATTGTGTGCTTTCAAAAATTCCACATAAATATTATCAATATACCATTATTTCCTGCATTTGAAAGAAAAAATCCACTTGTAAAACTTCTTTAGTGTTTTTCTCAGAACATAGCTTCTAATCAGAAAAATTGGAACTCCTCCCTCATTTCTCAAGCTATAACCAATATTTTTTCTTTTCTTTTAAAGGTCTTAACAAAAGTAAACTTCTCATCAACCAGTTTTTTAAAGTATTCCTGGGCTGAGGAAAGTGGAATTTACTTTCGTCGGATAACCGTTTTTTAGGCTTCTTTTAAGACATGGCTACTAAAATGCTCATAAAAAATGAACAATAGGGAATTTAAAAATTCTGGTTGATGAAAGGCTGCATACTAACATTGACTTTAATTTGAAACCACTTCGAGCTGTATATCTTGTGTCGCGACGAATTTATACCGATTCTGCTGAAGGCCAAAAATGACCTATGAATCAGCTGGAAATCCGGTCTAGTACGACCTATAGGGCTGAAATTTTTACCAGAAGCGTTTCTCACCAGGATAAGTTATCTCTGAAAATTTCAGCCCAAAAGGACCATTCTATGTGGGAAATCATTTCTAAAGGGGGGGGGGGGGGNTCTTTTAAGAAAAAGGTTAACGTTGTATCATTTTCTCAAGCTGAGATATATGTGGGAAAATGTCGCATAACTTTTGGTACGCCCGGTAACAATTCATTTTATAAGTCCTCCATGTTTTTCCTGTGTCAGTCTTATTTTTCCTTTTGAATGAACAAGTCATACATCACTCGAAAGCGCTCATTTTACTCTATCAGAAGACATGTTAATTCGATTTCTATGATTCATCCTCGCTGCATAATAACCTCAGACATTTGTACGGATACTTTTGCATCGCGGGTTATATACATTTTTAAAAAAAGGCCAAATTTTTACATACTTTCGTAGGAGATTTCCACCCCACTACTCGGTTTTTGGAGAGATTTTCGCGGTTTTTGTAATTTTTGGGAAGACTACTTTTTCACTTATATCAGCATGCAATAAACATTGTTATATCATATAGTATGACCTGTAGTGCTAGCTTACGCCATCTATTGCGTGCTTTCAAAAATTCCACATAAATATTATCAATATACCATTATTTCCTGCATTTGAATGAAAAAATCCACATCTAAAACTTCCTTCTCGTTTTTCTCAGAACATAGTTTTCAATCAGAAAAATTGGAACTCCTCCATCATTTCTCGAGCAATAACCAATATTTTTTTTGTGTTTTAAAGGTCTTAATAAGAGTGAACTTTTCATCAACCAGTTTTTTTAAAGTCGATTCCTGGGCTGAGAAAAATGGAATTTACTGTCGTCGGATCACCGTTTTTTATACTTCTTTTAAGATATGTCTACTAAAATACTCATAAAAAATGAACAATAGGGAATTTAAAAATTCTGGTTGATGAAAAGCTGCATACTGACATTGGCTTTAATTTGAAACCACTCCGAGCTCTATACCTTGTGTCGCGATGAAGTTATACCGATTCTGCTGAAGGCCAAAAATGACCTATGAATCAGCTGGAAATCCGGTCTAGTACGACCTATAGGGCTGAAATTTTTACCAGAAGCGTTTCTCATCAGGATAAGTTATCCCTGAAAATTTCAGCCCAAAATGACTATTCTAAGTGGGAAATCATTTCTAAAGGGGGGGGGGGGGGGGCTTAATTTATTCAGTAATGATAACTTTAAAAAAATGTTTAACATTTGACTAGAAGCAACATAATTATGCTTCAGTAATAAAGGCAATTCCTTCAACTACTAATTTATAATTTATAAAATCAAATTTCAACTAACTTGTTACTGGAGTTTTTTTTTCGTTGATATCTTATTCGTTTTAGTATTTTCTAATTAGTTCGATGCAATCTTCGCTCACATTGGATCCAATACGTTTTATAAATTCAAACATATAATGGAGCTATCTAACTGTTATATCATGTTTAGAACGAAAATAGTAGATTACGATTTACTAATAATACTATGTACTTAAGAATACTATCATTAGAAGAACTCCTGGAGTTATTGAAAACTCTTTTTGTGACTGAAAAGTACGAATATAAGATTACACTTGCGGTTGAATCTTCTTTTCGATACGTTCTCAGACATCATACTAACTGTCTTTTAGAAAACTTAGCATATTCCACAAGCTGAACTGATAGAAAACAAATTTTCCAATTCGAAAATGACTTGTAGAAGGTTTATGAGTCGCTTCAATGATGATATTTGACATCAGTATTATCAATAACATAAATTCGATTAGTATTCATTTGAAAAATGCTGCTTTAATCAACACAGATCTGTCGTAAGAGATTTTTATCATTGAAATTATTTTATGCTATTATTTTTAACAATTGTTTTTTTTTTCGATAGATGAACAGGCAATAAGTGGAATAAGATCTCAAAATAAAGACTGAAAACGTTTGATTATAGCTTTTTCTGCTAAAGATAATCTTTTATTAAGCCCCCCCCCCCCTCAGAAACGAACTTTGTTATTTTTCGTCCGATTTCACCCAGATTTTTGAAGGATATTAGTCTAGGATAGGATAGATTATGAGTGAAATATCTTCCCCAAATTTCCAATAAACTAATGAGTTATAGTCAATTTATTGGTCAAAAACACCCTGTACGCGGGGAAGGATTTCACAATAAGGATACAAGCTAGCAAGCTCGGGCGGTTTTTAACTTGTAGAGTACCCTTAGGACCAGATTCTCACAGAGTCCGATTTTTAGATTTCCCTTTATTTCATTTTTAAAAACACATTTTCGAAAAATGTTCAAATTCAAAGCACTAATAAAAATGAAATATTAAAGTTTTTATTTCACCAAAAGATAAATTCAAAAATTGGAGCCTGTGAGGATCTAGCCCCACCTGCCCTCTATGCAACAAAAAACAATTATCCGTTCTTTATTGAGTCGTTATCAAGAAATCCTTCCCCGCGTAAACGGTATGCTCGAAAAAATAAATTTTGAGAAAAACGAAAAATAAATTTTTAAAAACCTTATTTTTTTCAATATGGGGGTTCGGAAAAACCTATGTAATATTCTTAAATCTCATGATAAAATCAATCAACTATAGTGCATTCGAGAGTAGACACTTAGCTCTAGCTAATGAGTTATAAATCACAAAATCGATAAATTTGACCAAAATTGACTTTTCTGAGGGAGGGGGCCCCCCTTAAGAGAATTTTGGAGGATGATTGCATTTTATTCTTATAAGGATATTAGAAGAAATCAATGGGTTGTCGAGATTTTCTTTTATCATCTTAGATTTGTTATTATCAAAAGGTTAATGCAAATTGTATCATCAAAACATTTAAGAAAATTAAAAGTAAAAGCAACAGAATCATCTGAATTTTTCTTTTATATTGATAACATAATACTATGCATCTTGTTAAGGCTGCACAGATATATTACATAAAAAGTTTTGTTTAAGTCCAGAGTAGGGAATTGCATCAAGAAAAATGTCAAACTTTGGAAAAAAGCAATAAATCATAGTGTTGATTGTGCTCATACTAGATTTCATTCATGGTTGTTTCAGGGAACATTTTTGGTAGAATGTAATAGAACATCAATTTACACAAAGTCGAGAAAAACATATTTTTTTCCGAATATTAATCTCTTTTTGCTATGTCTTTCTCTAAATATTCACTACGTATTAGTAGAACCCGTCGAATTGGTACGTGCCTGAAAATTTTTGACACGACGTGCTCTAATTACGACACAAAAAAAGTATAGCTTTCGACATACGACGATTTTCACCGTTTAATATTTAAATAAATAGAAAACCAATAGAAATTTGCTGTAACTATTGAATTAGAATGTGTGTATCAAGAATTCAAGTATAATAGATTACTATTTACCGTGTGAAGAATTGCAAACCATTACGATAATATATAGTCAACTTTAATTATTCGTGACTTTTTATCATATTCATTGCAATGGATTTAGTAAAAACAAAAATAATTTATTAATGTATATTTGATTGTGAAAATAATTTACAAGAACATAAATAAAATTCTTTGTCTTTTCTTCTAAATCTAAAGTATAATATTATTTATATATATATTGAGATAACAAACTCGTGAGTTTTCATTTTTATTGTTATGACAAAAAAACAACACTTTTACAGTGAAAAACTTGTGAAACAAACAGCAAAACTTCAATACACTCTAAGCATGGATGCTTTTATAAATCTGTTGAAAAAGTTCTTTATATTTCTTTTCTACAGCATATCGACGTGCCTTCAATGTTGGTGTTAAAAGTCCATTTTCAATTGTAAATGCTTCTTTAATAAAGTCAATTGCTTTAACTTGTTCGTATGACATTAAACCACGTCTTTTACCTTCACGAATCATATCATCAAGTACAATTTGTTTTAATTTAGCATTCAATTCCGGTGATATTGTTGGTTCAACAGTATATCCTTCATTTTTTGCCCATTGTTTTACATAACCATCATTCAATAAAACAACAGCAACAAGAAAACTTTCAAACGAATCACCATAAACAAATATTTGAGAAATGAATCGACTACGTGCATAAACATCTTCAATTTTTTCTGGTGCTACATATTCACCTTGACTTAGCTATAAAATAAACAAAAAATACATTTAGATTTTTTAAAATTTCGAACATAACAGAATATAGATCATAGAGCTGTAGTGTAGTGGTTTCAGAATATTTTATTCCGAAATTCAAAATGTCTTGTATTTGTGCGCAACGAAACGATACAGCAGACTCAGCAAAGTCAAATTAAAGATATTTATCTAATTCAAGTCATCGTTCGTGTAATCTACTCTAGATTCGAAATAAGTACTTAAATAGAAAATGTAATTAAATTCTAACATGTTTCTCTATTTAATGAGTTTTTTGCAGATAAGACATTAGATTTGTCGTCAGTGTCAGGCTTAGAGATGAATATTACAGACTGTCGTTTGTATCTTCCGAGGTTTTTTTTCACTTTCTACATCAAAAGAGAAAATAAACGACATTATACTGTCCAAGATTTTATTTAAAAATTAGATTTTCACTATGATTGCTTCTTTCGGGTGCTTGTTCAATATTTTTACTACTTATGTTCTTCAGTCTAACCTGTTTTTCCAATTACACATACCTTATACATATTTTTCTTTCTATCAACAATTTTCATTGTCATATGTGGTGTCCATTGACCAATATCACCTGTATGTAACCATTCTTCTTCATCAATTGCTTCACGTGTCTTAGCTTCATCTTTCAAATAACCTTTAAATACCGCTTTACTTCGAAGACATATTTCTCCAATACCATCTTTAGCATAGTAATTCTTATCAGGTACATCAACTAATTTCAGATGATTGAGTGGTGTTGGAATACCTGTTGCACCTGCTTCAATATCGTTTACTGATTGTGCACAACCTACGACACATTCTGTTTGACCATAGGCTTCAACAAAAAAACATGAAAATGCAGCACGTGAAAATCGACAAACTTCAGGTGAAAGTGGTGCACTTGATGAAATAACACGATTAACTTTACCGCCAAACGATTGGCGAATTTTTTCAAACATAATTTTATCCCATATTGTATTTTGTGAAAAATTTCCACGTCGAATAAGTGCTAATTTGCTTTTAACTGCCAATCGAAATAAAATACGGCCAACCATACCTTTTTTACGCAATTCAGATCGAGCTTTATCATATAATTTGTTAAGTAAACGAGGCACCATTGTAAGAATTGTTGGTCGAAAATCATGAAAATCATCGGGCAATTTCTCAACTTTACCTTGCCAAAAACCAATTTCTCCACCTAGAAAACTCAAAGAAAATATTATTTAAGAATGCTTAAATATTAACTATACCTAAATAAGTTAAAGAAATGGTCGTTCCACAGCCAAACAGATGAGCTAAAGGCATATAATTTAATGCACGCGGAACTTCATCTGTGTGTAGTAGGTCAATAGCAGCGGCAACACCAAACATTGCACATATGAAACTTTCATGTGTAATAATACAACCTAGAATTATAAATATTTATTTCGAAAAAAATACTAAAATAATATATTTTTCTACCTTTTGGTTCTCCTGTACTTCCACTTGTATACATAATCATTGCTGTGTCACTCGGTGTTGGTGGTACTAATTCAACTGGATTATTTCGACCAATTTCTCTTAATTTATCAAGTGTAAGAAGATTTAACTGTTTTTCTTCAGCTAATTTCTTTAAATCATCTGTTGGTTCAATAAAACAAACAATTGTTTTCAATGCTACTGTTTCATCTTTCCATTCAATTAAACTTTTTACACTTGATAAATTAAGAGAAATTGGTCGAAATAATCCAGTTGAATTAGTACCACCAACACCGAGTGACACAGCAATGATTATGTATACAAGTGGAAGTACAGGAGAACCAAAAGGTAGAAAAATANGAGGGAAGATACGAGGAGAACAAGACTCCCCTGCTGGCAAAAGCAAATTAGGTAAAATATAAAAAACTGAATGCAAGAGAACGAAGAAAAATGAAAGAATATTGATGGCTAAATAATTTCAAATTGATATAATGCCTAAATAGGTCTCCTAAATAAAATCACAAGAAAATAAGCAAAAAAATTTTTCGTCATCGTTTTTTCTTTATATCACTGCCCCTTCGTTCACATATATAATTTTTTTTACTACGTGCAGTAGAGCCATGATACATATATTCATTTCTTTCACGAGAAACTATTGACTAGAAGTACGGCTTGATTATAATTTTCATATAATATCACTATCTAATCGATAAGAAGATATGAATGTGTTATTCGTCGAATGAAAAATCCAAATAGTATGTCGTATCTTCAGCGCGACTATCACATTCGAATTGGAAAAGTTTATTCAGAGTTTCAAGAGTGCAGGGAGAGTTCCTATTAGAGATGTGAGAGATCGAGACCAAAGTTTAAAACTTTATTGATACCAGAACTAAAAATCACTAAAACCAAGAGCGAAACGGTGCCCTTTTTTTATTTGATCGGCTGTCGTCAGCATCCCAGGTGTATTAAAATCCAGAAGGAATTGATTGAATACTTTTTTGAGATCTTTTCAATTGAATTTTTTTTATAGACCATCTTTCACACGCAGACAAGCAATACTATATTAAAAAAAAATAAATTTAATTTTATAAAAAAAAATTAATTAAATATATTCTCTTTGCTTTTATCATCCATCACGGAAAACAATTATCTTTTCAGAGAAATGCAAAGACAAATTTTTCACCATTCCTATTTCTATTTAAATAACGAAATAGCAGTATAAGTTTGCTAATTAGATAACAAAAGAAAAGATAATTGGAACAATTTTTTAAATATTCATTCGAATATATTTCAGAAAGTGAAAATAATACGCTAAGAAAAAAAGCCTGAAGATAAATACCAGTAATTAATCAAGACTAACATACCAAAATGAAATCATAAAAATTCTTTAGATATCTTTTAGAATCATTTCTAGGCTAAATAAGTTGTTTTTTTTTCTCGTCTTAGTTTTGATCATCGAAACTTAATTGAAATAGCTGAGAAACTTCAATTCCAGAAAGTTTTCTCGTTTACAAAAATTTTATGAAAAGAAAATTACATATAATCATATATTTGTTAGAGTTAACCGTATTTAGGAATCTACAATGTATCATTTAAACAAAAATTGATTGATTCTTTGTATTAAAATATTTAACACTATATTTTTCAAGATGCGTCGTACCAAAAATTTTAGGAAAGTTAACTTCTTTTTACATTCAAAAAATAAATTTTTTACCTGAGCACCAGACACAATAATACAGTTCCATCTTAAAAAAAATGTTTTACTAAGAAAAACTTCTTATTTTTCAATTTACATGTTTTCGACAGACAAAAGTCATGTATAACCAAAACTAACCCATAACGAGAAATAATGAAAAATTGTATAATAAAAAGTTTTTATTCTAATTAATCAACCACAACAATAGACAAGGAGTTTTCACAATAACATTTAAGTGATAAAAGATGAATTTATTTTTTACATTAAAATTTATAACGAAATCAAAGTTGGATCTTTTATTTTGGTAAATAACCGACATTAACCTAAAATGAAAATAGGCTCTTAATTTAGTTCAATAAAAAAGTAAAACTTACGAAACCAGTTTTTTTCTTAATTTCAATTAAATGTTGCACTAATTGTTTTTGCTTTTCTGATGAATCTGCATTTTCTAAATTACTTGCTATTGTCAACAGTTCATTTAAAACATCCTTCTTATTTCGTATAAATCGAAAATATTGAAAAAGATTCTCCTTGTACATAGATAATTCGAGTTGTGCCATATGTTGAAATTCACGTATCTCTAAAAAAAATTAGAAAATGCTTTTTTTCAAAAACTATTAAAATACTTCAAAAAATATCTTAGAAAAGTCTATCATATAAGAATCAACGCATCTTCAAATGCTCTTTCTCATCATTTAAATCAGTTTCCTATATTATTCAGATAAAAAATGAGCGCAGTGTGGTTAAATGTCACAAGGATTTATTATTGTTTTTAACCATTAATTTGTATAACTTTTTTTATAAGTGATTACTTTTTTTTTTTAATATGATTTGTTATAGACATACAGTACTTGATCCTCTATCTATTTGTTAAAGAATTTTCTAAATTCGAGTTAGAGGTACCTATCTTCCACTTATTTTTTTAATAACTTTTAATGAATTTTTACATTATCTGAAGAGACAATTTTAATAAATAGATGCATTTTACATAAAATAATTAAAATTAACATTTATCATCAATTAATTAATATTAATTAGTCATTAACTTGCGAATAAATAGAGACTATCATTTAGAATTAGTGAATGAATCTTTCATTTTTCCTATGTAATTAACCCGAGTTCTCTTCAAATAATTCAATAAGAAATAGCGATAAAAATTCTGCAATTGTTTTCATCGACACAATTCGATGTGAAGAAAAAAACCGAGTAGAGTGAGTAAATAGATAAATGCATAGTAGACAATTAGGAAAGTCACCTTTTCTTCTAGTTATTTTTATCAATGAGGAAAACATCTTAGAGAAAATTTTCTTGAACGAAAAATATTTCATATTTCTTTACAATCAGAGTGAAATCTCTTTTATCTTAGGAAGTTCATTGAGAAAATAGACTAGTAAAAAAGACATTACTTATTCACCAATAATAAAATGGTTGCGAGTCATATTTTTTGTGGATATTTTGATGAATAGTCAACAACAAGAAAAACGAAGTTCTCTGAAAATTTCTTCGTTTATCGATTCTTGTAGATTTTGTTACGTCGATCATTTTAGTAAAAAAAATATTCAAATTTACTCAATAAATAACGCTAATTATAATCAAAATACTCAACAACATCAACTACAGTGGTCGTAAAAAGTCCCTTACCCGAAAGAAAACTATCTAAACCTCAACTATTTTGTTTCATATCTTTACTGCGAATAGAACTCAGTGAACCCTGATCGCAGGAGGCAATCAGGACTTGATCTACCTTGATGCAGATGAGCTGGCGCATGAACACGGACTTTTCGTTCGGTAACGATATTTCAGCAGAGGAATCAAATCTCACGGCGTTCCACTTCTCCTCCGGCATCGGAAAGCTCATGATGAGACATTCTCAAGTATCACGTTGCTGTTGAACCGAGAGTATGAACATCATATAGGCTCTGATGATCTATGAATACCTAGAAAAAAGTTCGTTCCGTAGCTTATTGGTGCCGAAATCTGGCACTGTTACTGTATTTTTAAGCTCTACTTCTGGTAGAGATTCCATAACAAATTACCGAACCTGTTGAGATTATCACACATTCTGGGACTCATGGCCAAGGGTGTATCTCCTCTCTGATAATGGCCACAATCGTGGAACTTTTATGTAAAACTTAATGGGGGGGAACTACTCA